TGGAAGAGGAGGAGAGGCCAAGCGATGACTTGGTCGAGAGAAATGAAAACCCTCACTTCGAAGTTGGCGTCGATTGGTGCATCCCGACTGCCTGGCTGGGGTCCTAAGGACGATGAACACGTTTGGTTGGACACACTTGCTGATATGGCTTAGAGCCGGCCCCACTGGCGTTTGTGTTGTGAGTTCCTTTGTCCATCCCCCCTCCTGCTTAGCATCCCCCTCCAAACACGATCTCACTCGTTAGACATAATATAACTCTTTTTGCGGCACGATAGCTAGCTGTTAGCTCTCCGGAACGATGTCCATCCGTTACTGGGGACTCAGCCGGCGTGCCACCGTTTGTTTCCTTTTCTTGTCTTTTGTACTGCGTCACAATAGTTGAGATGTTTTCCACCTGCAGTTAACGTGTATAAGGAATGAAACCAATCCTTCGTGTGCAAATGTGGTCAGCTTGCGCCGTCGGTGCTGATTCTCTTTCCATTCGCTGGTCCCGTCTCTTCCCTTTGTTTGGTCAATCAGCCTCCACTGCACCGTGCGCCGTCCGCTCAGGATCACTGTTGGCCGCGGGTAGCTCATTTACCTTTTTCCAGAACCAAAACCGTGCTTGACTCCCAACTGTTCATCCGGGTCGTGTGATCGTAGTCAACTGGCACTGGTGGCGCTGATTGACTTCCCAGCCCACTGAACGCGCGTCGGTTCTGCTCGTGTGACCTACCAGCTGCCATTCTGCTAGCTGTAGCATTCAGAGCCATTTCAAACTCACTACCATCGACCAATTTGCCTAAGGTCAAGTGACCGTGCTATGGCTATTGCAGGATGAAGCTTTGCACAGTGACCCGCTGTTTGCACAGTTCAGGCCGAAGCCGCTGGATTTCAGTGGCTTAAACCGTGTCAGATTGATGTTTTCCGAGTCCTTTTGGTTTGCATTTCGATACGATATAAGCTATTTTGTTAGCGTCTCTCATTTGTGCCTGTTCTCCACTGCTTAGTGGGTGTCAAAGAATTGAGCTGTGAACGCTCTTTGCTGTGCCGTTGGAACGCGTCGAAGAAGTGATTGTGCTATCCGCTTTGGCAGACAGCTGGTCGCGTGCTTGAGGTCCAGGTGCAAGTGTGTTGTCACAGATCAACTGGTTCGAACTGGGACAGACTTCTTTCTTTTGATACTTATGTGATTTGCATTACGGTTTCGGTGAGGGCACGAACTTTAGCGGCTGGATACGCTTTGCTCACTGCGGAAGACGATTGCCTACTCAAGTGTTTATTGTTGCTTATCTAAAGCGAGGTAACCTCTAGAAGTTAGGGAGCAAGCCACTAGCAACTCATTCGCAATCGACTGTGTTCGTAGATTTGTCACCTATTTAGGCAATAAAACACCTGAACTTTTATTGACCTTAAGTCTTATCGAGGCCAAGCTGAATTAGAATGCCGGGGGCTCTACAACTGCATGATTGAACTGGACGATGCTACCCCAAATCACACGAGTTAGGCTGTTACTTAACTCTGAACAGATCTCCTGAGTAAACCTCCGATAAATCCGACGTATTGTAGGTTGGGATTTAGAATTTAAGGTGAAACGTTAAAACCTCGGAATGAACAACCAAGACGCACCATCCGGCATGTCCTCCCTTTCTAAATTGACCGGTAGCTTGTACAAACGGTATGCTTAAATCGTTTACTGGCGTCAGCCCATGTTGGGATTTTCATTGTCTTTACTGTATTATCTCTAACAGTATGCAACATTAACCCCCATTATTTTCTCGCGCATACCCTTGGAGAATCCAACCAGTTACAAACAACATAGTTTCCTTCCTAATACCAGATAAATTGACTGTCCTTTACCTTCCATTCGTTGCTTGAACACTCCTATACAAACAAATTTGCTATGGTTTTCCTTACGTCATAGATTCATGATTCATGTGACCGCGTTTGTTGTGGCGCTGCCGTTTGAACTTATAACATCAAGTGTGATCTGTCCTGTCTCTCGATCTCTCTTCACTTGTTCTCAGTATTAGTTATCTGGAGGCTGCAATCTTCTAGTATGCGGACGACAGTCATTTTTAATCGAGCCAATCTGCTGTGCAGATGCTACTTGATAAGCTTATGTAAGTCGTTGTATGCACTGACATGGACTTCTTACCTTCAATCGTAAGTGCTGCCGAAGAACTGGTTCGGTATGTCACTAGTACCCGTTGTTGCCGAGCTCTTACCTGAAATTTTCAGTCTATTCGCTTAACTGGATATATCTGTCTCACCTGTAGTGGACAAATCACGGAAGTGGTTACCGCGCGTATTAGTACGTCTCGTGTGGCTCTCCAAAGCGTTGATAGCCCAATACATCGGTGTGCTGTTCAAAACGTATTGTATTAGGAGTAGGCCCAATTTAACTCGAATAAAACCCGGCATTTAGTGAACTCGAAGACCATAACAACTGGCGACGGAAAGACCCTTAATCACGATGCCAATTTCATCAGGCTGCTTGGAAACCATTTTGAAGACTCCCAGTTACGTCTAATTGAGGTGCTCGAAAATTATTTCTCCAAACTTTAACTGTCCAAGATGTTGGCATACTTTCATTTGATACAGACATCAGTAGCATCACTAAGTTCGCTTTTAACCCGATTCAGGGTTGATATTTGATGCATGGTTCCGGTGCTATGAAAACATCCTCAAAACGGAGCTCTCAAAGCTTGATGATGCATCCAAGATTCGTGTAGTGCTGCGAAAACTCGGAGCGAGTGTAAAGAATAAACACGTCAGTTTTATTCTACTGAGGAGTGCGCATGAGCTTAACTTCGGTGGCAATTACGTGGCTTACAGGAATGTTCAGCGATCGGTCATCATTTTTCAGTAACCGATATAACTGCCCGATGCCATGTAAAAGACAGTCTCATTTCCAACGCAGCCACAGTAAAACGAGGGTGCCATAAGTTCAAGGTGAAGTTGCTTATTGAAGATCAGTTTGAATGCATGGTACTGGTCTTGCATTGATGCTAAAACCTGTACTAGAATAATAAGGATGTTGGAGAGACCTGCAGGTCCCACTGCAGACTATAATTGCAGAAGCTCAAAGATCCACTGCTTTAAGACATGGCACAACCAAGGTGCTATAAAGATCGCATTCGGAAGTACGTCTGAAAATAAATTCTCGGAAACGATCGATATCTTCCAGGAGAGAGATGTGTTAAAGTTAAGCCCAAGTTAACCCGAGTAAAACCTATCGTCCGGGGAACCCGAGGACCATACCAATATGCATTACTATAGTGCCATTTATAAATCAATAAATATTTTATTCTCGAATTCATCGAGGCACACCATATGAGGCATGATCACTGTAAAAATCAGTGACTCGGTCACCGTGTGTTGAGACCCAAACGGACCTATCATGTTTGACCACCTATGCCTTCGAATTTACACCCATGTTATATTGAAGCACTGAATGGGTACTACTGAATTCATCCAATTGGTGCTTGGAAGCAGACCATCGTGTACTGCTATGGACTTTCCATTGGACCCGAACCTCCCACATTGGTCAAGCTATGTCTTTCACCGAACTGCCGATCGCCAACCGTGCTATGTAGTGTTCGCTCATGCTGCGTCTAGTTTTGTGAAATCCAGAGTTCGTCATCTGATGACGATGAAAACATGGACGACTCTTTCTGAGAGGAAGTAAAGTTTCCCGGGAAAACTCGTTATTTCATTGGGAAAAGATCTGAGCCAATGGTTTAAAACCGAAGCATCAAGTCGTTTTAGGAACATTCATGTCCATAAAGTGACGCGCGTACCTATCTTTTGTTGGCTAGCGGAACTGAACTGTCAATCAAGGCTGCCGATGTACCTGTTTTGAACTACAAAGATACTTTGGTTGACCCATAAGTATCCTTTCATTTTACACTACTTGTACTCGTACCTGTAGCCGCTTCTGCAACATGCTTTTGCCTCCAGGCCTTGATTTCTTACTGGTTGCGATTGGATCTTGTAGGATACAAGATCCGTTCGACAGAAATCGTATAGGAAAAGTAAGACCGATTAGGTTGGGTGCAAATCGTCTTCCTCGACGTGATCCTCCAGATCGGCTTCATGCAGTTAGCACATGCAGTTAGCGAGTTTTATGGGACTGCCCTTGAAGAGGCGTGTCAATCTTCGACTGAAGAGTATTCGATTGTTCCCAGTGAAACATGGTTTCTCCAATACATCGGGAACAGTGCCTTGGGTCAATATTGAGAACTTTGGTCGGATGCTGAGTGAGTGGGTTCCGGAAGTTCGGACGTACTTTTGTTGAAGCCGTCCTCCGCACCTTATCCAAGCTGACTGAACTCTCTAGCTTGGATAAGGTGCGGAGGACGGCTTCAACAAAAGTACGTCCGAACTTCCGGAACCCACTCACTCAGCATCCGACCAAAGTTCTCAATATTGACCCAAGGCACTGTTCCCGATGTATTGGAGAAACCATGTTTCACTGGGAACAATCGAATACTCTTCAGTCGAAGATTGACACGCCTCTTCAAGGGCAGTCCCATAAAACTCGCTAACTGCATGTGCCTTTTGATTTTATACGTTCCATCCCAGTTTCCTAATTTTTTCTTAGATATAACCGCGTGTCTGGTGAGCTCATTTCAGAATAGTACTAACTTGCTACAATAGATCACTAAGCTTTCTGGTCTAATCTTCTTTTGATACGATTTGTGTGTTTTCTACACGCAGTCTATAACCCGAGTGCCATTGCACCGCAGTACGATTATCGCAGCGTATTATCACCCGGTTAATGACAATGCTAATAATGATTGCAACATGTTCGTTTCTTTCACCGCTACCGAATCACTCGGTTTTAGTTGAAATTCACTTTTTGGGTACCTAATGATTGTACACCTTTTCGATTCACCTCCGCTCATTTTTGCGCCTTATTTACTTGCTATCTCCACGTCGATTCTGCGCGCAATACGTTGCCCGTCGTCGTCGTCGTTGTTCACCCCTTTGCAAGCCACTTCTCTTTCTAATTCCAGGAAGTTGCACGTATGTTAATTCGAATGCGACTCGAAGCAGAAGCAACGGTCGGCGGCAAACCAGGCGCTACACTACTAAATGAAGTTGTCTCCCAAACGGAGCTTCTGGTTGTCATCGATCGATCCGTCGATTGCTTAACTCCTTTGTTAAGCCAGTTGACTTATGAGGGATTGATCAGTGACAAATGGGGCATCCGATATGGTCAGTTAATATTTTTCACTTATTTTGTCATATTTCACTCGAATACGCCGAAATGTCCCGTTTTCTTCTAAGTTATCACACGGTCTGTTATTGAGGTCTGGCATTCTATCATTCTTAGTCCCCTAGAGCTGTACCTGTCTCACACGTAGAACTCATTCCACTTGCTCTTATCTGGGCTCATTCAGCATTCTTCATATATATATATATATATATATATATATATATATATATATATATATATATATATACTTAAACTAGGTCTTTTTAATATGGATAAAATTCATTCCACTTTATTTGGTTTGTTCTGCGTACTTCATAATCTCCCAACTTGCACACGCCGCTCATGCAAATTGTGGTGGACTTGCGTAATTTTATCGCTTGGTATTTCCTAAATAACTTCCGGACATTTTGTACTTATTGCGGATTCACTTATAACCAATTTCTTCCATATGCTCATTTAGCGAGTATTTATGTCGTCATATGCGTTTACTTTATTCGATATCGGCATTTTGAATGATTGGCTGTTGTTTGACATCCCCGGTGCGGCTGCGCTTGATGTGCATGTTGACAAGGTGCCTACCTGTCTATTACCCACTACCTCGTCTATCTGGGTCCAGGAGAAAGTTGGTCGTTGCTGGAGGGGACGGGGTGCACGGTGCTTGTGGTCGTGCTAGGCTCGAAGAGTGGTTCCATGCATTCAGTGTGGAGCAGTCTACAGTCCAGCCACCGCCTTGTGTGTACTTGATACTCCAACTACAGTGTGCTTGTGTTTGCCTCTGAAGGAGTGTGGGCCGGCTCCCATCCACATGCCTCCCGGTCTTATTCCTTCGGGTTTACACTGGATTTGGGGTGTGTGGTTGAAGCTATGGGTGGTGCCATGCAAGCCATCCATGGTCATTCTGTAGGCGCAGGCGTCCTGTGACTGACCACAGTGACAGGCAAATCCGAAACCGGATGCCGCCAACCATATATATAATGACCAATATACAGCTGGCTGAGTGCCACAGCTCATGGGTAACAAGAATAAAAAGGAGGAAAACAGCGTTATTTGTTGTGTGGGGTGACAGCTTCTTGGTTGCTCAGGCCGAGGAAGAGGGTTGACTTAAAGGACCCCACCCAGGGCCTTTGGTCATAAGACGCTTGTCACAACAGTTAATGACTGATTGGAGGGATCAATTTGAAGCACTTTTGGGTGAGTGGATTGCGACGCACAATCCGCGATTCCTGTCGAATTGAACCATGGTCAGTTTCGATCACTGAGACGCGGAATCCGAGGTGGATGAATATTTAGTGTTGCCTGTTCGATAGACTCTTCTTTACCGCATTTGATTTCCCTTTTGTGATAGCCCTATCTCTCTTTGGTCTACATGGTTTTAGCCGCTCCATTTTTATTCATTATAATTATGCTAAAGATATAGAAACATGTTATCCAATTTTTTTAATAAGTGGCCTCAAGTGACTTAGCCCATTGGCTTCCACCTGATGATACTGCAGGCGGTCCTCCGCACCGGCCAATACTAGTCGTGTTCCCCCGTGTTTTAGATCTTGATCTACTCTCTTAGCCGTTCAAATTACCAAATGGGTGTTTCGATTGTGTGTTGTTCCCGCTCTCAACTTCTGCTGATTATAAACTGTAGCATTGTAGAGCTTACTGCGCATTGTCCTACTTTCTTATATCGAAGAGTATCTTGAGTAGCGCTGTCTGCTGTTTCTGTGTGCGTATTTTGCTCTCCTAATCTCAGAGAGCAGAACCCGTCACCAGCTTCGCGTAAACCTGAAAATGTTGGGAGACTAACCCCTGATGACCTCAAGAAACAGACATGCTCGGATGTGCCGTTCAACTCATCCACATTTATGATCGTACAGCTACTTTGTAGGACCTCGTTATGATCGGCACAGCGTGCCGATGAAAATGGAAGGATACATAATCAGGTAGCAGATTGTCTATTCGGTCGTCTGATAGAGATAACAAATACGTGCATTTTTAAATCAATATTTCACGCGTTTCTGCGGAAAATCAGTTTTGTGAGAAATTTGACAGTTCCCCATGTCAGGACACGTTTTGTTAACCCTTTACCCAAGACACCGTGCTTGTTCCACAGTTCTTGAGCTTCTACACTTGGAGTGATATTTCGTGTGTTTCTGTGCATTGTCGTCTTTCTTTATCTACGACAATTACTCTAGGTATATGCCGTTTTCCGGTTGACTCACATGCTTCCGGCCACCAACCCATTCGCACGGTGTTAAACGGTCGAGACGAGTTGTTTGCCGAGCTTCGCGACCAAAACTTCACCGCTGTCGGTCCTATTCTTTCCAAACGTTCCAAGGAGATTTCGGCGCTAAGAGCTGTGAGTGTATTGCTTTTCAATTTCATATACGACTGACTGTTCTTTTTACTGCCGAGACCAGTCATCGAGTCTTATGCGGCAAAAGCGACACACTCATTGGCATTTGTTTTTGACTCTCAACTTTGATTTTTGGAACGGTCTATTGCATCCAAGTTCGGCCAGACAGTCACTATACACCCATTCGTCCTACTGTGACCCATCATTGGCGTGCATCCACCAGATCATGCTGAATTCCAACCCGTGGTTTTCTGCTTGCGAGTACAATGCTGCGCCATAGGTGACGGCAGGGGCCACCGTGATTATGGAAATCTGTTAATTATGATTCGGCACGTCAGCTCACTTCTGTTGAGTTAGTAGGCGATAACTACTAGGCTCTGCTGACTCTTGTGATTCGTGATCACCTGGGTTGGTTATTCTTATCTGCCTTGCTTACTGATTTTAACAGTGAGCACCATGAAAACAAACCGTTCTGAATTGTTATCTACACGAGTCGCCTCTTGGGAAGAGGATTACACGATTTTGATCGTTAACCACTGTGCAGCACGATGGTTACCAGGCTACGGCTGTGAGGGAAGAATTATAGAAAGACCGGCATCATATGTACCCACGCATATTCTTCCAGACGATGGTCGGTTGTATTTGCTCTCCCTTGAACAGGCTGATATAGCTAATGCGAATACCGTGACGTAATGGTACCAGTAACAGCGGTATTTAGCCCGAATTCCTTTCAAATTCGATTTCGATTCCACGTGTGTGTGTTAATGCTCCAATTGGATGGGATTTGGAAAACTGCGGCCCAAATCAGGCTACTAGACGGCGTTTGTCAGTGCACTGGTTATGCGATATCTGTTAAAATAACAAAAATCATGCGCTGATATAACACAAATAAACTTAAGCAATTAATGCCCTTTAATGGTTTGAACACAATGAAAAGACGAACACTAGTAGGTGCATGCGTTTTGTATTGTCTCGTCAGTACCAATACACTAACAAGAAGTGAGCTATATAGTGTTCGAAAAGTGTTGCCCAACCAACCACGTGTGATGGGGTGGCTGGTCGGACAACGGCAACTGACGGTTGGCAACCAATTGTTTTTGTACCCACACAGGGAAGGTTCTGGTTGGCTTGTTGTCACGGTCTCAGTGAACCACAAGAAGTGTGATTTAGGGTGATGTAATGCAATGCGAAACGCTAAACCGCATCGAAATGTGTTTACCGATTGGTGATGCCGGCGACTTACGTGAGCACGAAATATTGGACGTATGTTGATTAACCTAACGTTGAGCCCAGTTAAGCAGGTGCTCCTACATTTTGAAATCCAAATCCCTATTGGTTCTGCCAATGTAACTGACTCCACAGCCGCACACAAATAGATGCGATGTGATTAGGCGCCGATAGGTTCCTGTAGTAGCACCCACCGCAACTTCCAGTCATGTCTGTCACATCACGCACCGAGCCTGCAAATGCTTGGATGAGTGTCGTCGATGGATCAATGTCAAGGTCATTACGCTGGTGCCTTATCTGACACTTCTTTGAATAGTGTCTAGGGCGCCTCCGCCCCTTGTTCTGCTTTCGTTAGTGGGTTCGGCTGTAATGATTCAAGACCCTGCTTGCGCAGGGGCCTAGTGTGCGTATTGGGATACAACATTGGCGTCGCGACTGCGAACTGCTACAATGGCATACCATCTTCTACCTCCGGACGCATTCTGGTGTGATTCAAGTGTCAAATCTATTGAGAGTGACTGGGCTCAATGGAAAATATCTTTTACAAGTTACTTGGACTTACTACCGTCAAATGCTGCCTACAATGTGGCTCAAAAGTTGAAACTTCTCCCTCACCTATTGGGAAATGAGGGTCAACGTTGCTTTGATGCATTGGAACTACAAAAAGTGGACACGCTCATAAAGGCGTTAGATGTACTGGATGGATCTTGGGGCGCCCGACCTAATATCTTTGTTGAACGTCACAAATTCTGCCTTTTGAGACAAGAGGACTCAGAGTCCCTGGAACCCTTTGGTTCGCGCTTGATCAGTGTGGTAAAAACATGCGATTACTCAAGAATTCAAAAGAATAGGGTTGAAGCGGTTATGCTGACACAACAATTAATATCCGGCGTCACGGATCTTCGCATACGAGAAACACTACTTCTGGAAGACACCCTGAAGCTTTCCTTAGATTGAGCGATAGAGATCTCTAAGCTCAAAACAACTGCCCTTGAACAGTCACGTCTGTTCAGCACCAAAGAATCACTCGATATCAGCAAGCTTCGGAGCACAAATTCTACGCCATCTCAGAATGTGACTGTTTTGTGCTTTCGATGTGAAAGTCCTCGACACAAAGCGGATCGTCAAACGTGTCCGGCCCGTACAGTAGTTTGCAAAAACTGTAGTAAGCGGGGCCATTTCGCCCGGTGTTGTCGCTCCCACCGCGTAGCACTAGTTGAACAACCATCGACTGAGTCTCCTTCTGCGTCTGCTACGGAAAATATTTTTGCGGTCAGAAAACTTCATCAGCCAGATAATCGGCAAACATTCTTGATGGAGCCCAAGCTCCCTTCCCCTGACATTCGTACAGTTACGCTCCATGGCCCCCACACCACTGTGCCAGTTGCGATGGAATTAGATTCTGCATCACCAACAACAAGCATTCCATCTAGCTTTTATGACAAATACTTACATGACATTCCATTGCATCCCACTTCGCTTGACTTTTACACCAATTCCCCTGTGTGCATCCGTGGATATATAGTGATGAAACAGTCTACAGTCGGTCACATTCGATGTTGCTGTGTACGTGGCATCTAAAGACGGCCGAGCCTTGTTGGGACCAAATGATATGGTCGTTGTTAACGTAACGCCATCTGTCAACTGAATGCGTATCATGGCACTCAATGCATAAGTGCTTAAAGGTTTATATCCAAAATTATTTACTGAGACGGTTGGCCGGATTCCATCTGCCGCTCATCGCATATGCCTTAAACAGGACGCTAAGCCGTTTTCTATATCGCTGCTACGTCCTGTTCCGTTTGCGAAACGTGCGATGTTAGAGAAAACCATACAGGAGATGGTATTCAACGATCTGGTAGAGCCAATTAACTGTTCCGAATGGGTCCATCCCATGGTTACGGTCTTAAAGAAGGATGGTGCTGTGCACATATCCAAGGACTTGAAGGCGTTAAATAGTCACATCATCGTCGAAAAGTTCGTTCTTCCTACAGTTGATGAGTTGCTAGTCAAGATAATTGACACACGATTTTTCTCAAAGTAAGACCCGAAGAAGGTTTTTTTCCACATGCCGTTGACACTAGAATCGAGACCACTAACGGCTTTTCTGACATCGAGCGGTCTGTTCCAGTATAAAGTTTTGCGAATGGGGCTCAGCTCTGCTCTCGCAGCTTGGCAGAAGTTCATGAATCACTCACTAGCAGATCTACCGGGACAAGTTGTTTACATGGAAGATATTTGCGTTTTTTCGGGCCTTCAAGAGAAGAGCACGACTCAAGACTACGCGCTGTATTACACCGGTTGGTAAGCCTAGGTCTTCGGCTTAATTTTGAAAAGTGTACATTATGTGTTGGTGAAGTCGAATTCCTTGGGTACATCTTATCATCGGGTGGAACCCGACCATGCGCTGCTAATACTCGGGCTATCACAGAAGCCTCCATACCGAAGAATTTATCTGAACTTAAGCATTTTCTTGGTCTATGCTCGTACAACTTACGCCGTTTGCCCGGTTTTGCTACTCTAGCGGAGCCCTTGAGGATGCTGACAAAGGAAAAATGTCACCTTCTACTGGGGTTCTGAACAGCAGTCTGCTTTTGAAGAAGTTAAAAGACGCCTCGTCTCTACACCAACGCTGGCCATTATCGATGAAAACTGCCCTACGTTCGTCTCGACGGATGCGTCAAACATCGGTTTAGGAGCGGTCCTGTCGCAGATGCAGAACGGAAAGGAAAAGTGATTGCATATGCCTCTAGAAAATTATTCTCTACAGAGGTTTCATATTCCGCCCTTGAAAGGGAGGTCTTCGCCTGTGTCTGGGCCTGTGAAAAATGACACCTATTCCTGTCTGGTCGGAGGTGTACATTGCGTACAGATCACGCTACTCTAACTACCCTCCTCAGTCTAGGAGCCAATGGTCACAAGCCACTGTGGATTAACCGCTGGTATGCGCGTTTACTGAATTATGGATTGTAAATCACATTCCGCTCTAGCTCGGTAAACCACATGGCAGATAGCTTATCACGTTGGAGGATTCTGGTAAGAATAGAAACGGCGAAGAAATGTCCGGGAGAAAGTAAGAATTCTCCGAGAAATGCATTATTTTAGCGATTGATCCATTATTAACGATTATCGCACCGATTTCGGACGTTCTGGAATGTTCTAAGTTCTGCACGTGACTACCAACCACCTGACATGTCGGCCAAATCTATGGGGAACCACTAACCTTGGTAGTTGACTTTCCAATTCCAGAAGTCGAGGGTCATTAAGAGACCCATAAATACAGTCAAGGTCCGCGGCGGTTGTACCGTGTTTTGTTGACGTCGGTTACCACGTTATTTTGTCAAGATCATTGGTGTTCTGCTTTTTCCTTCGGTTAGGCTAAAAGTTTTGTGGAGCAGTAAAGTGTCTATTCCGGAGTCGTGTCTAATGAGAAGGTTATAACAAGAAGTCATGGTTTCCGTTTTACATTTAAGTGACCTTTCCGCCGTAATTAAGCAAGAGCTTCAAGAAGCCAACCAGTGACCCAAATGTACAAGACATTTTCCACTACCTCTCTCAAGGCTGCCCTCGCTACACGAAGCTCAGTGGTGAACTACGGGTGTGTTATGTTTCACGACACGAGTTAGCGGTCATTGATGGTTGCCTTATGCGAGGATCGAGATTCGTGGCTCCACAGAGACTAACGTCAAAAGTTATCCAATGTACACACGAGGGACATCTGAGTATCGCACGAACGAAGCGCAGACTGCAAGGACACTTAGTGGCCGAAAGTGACTAAAATGGCACAGGCGTGTCCGGTCTTGCGATGCGTGTCAGAACACCGACAAGAGCTCTAAGTCGATCGATGCACCCAACCAACCTATCATTAATCCAATGAAACCTTGGTCGAAGGTGGCGATTGATATCGTGGGACCATTCCATTCTGCGCCGCATCACCAGAGAAACTGTTTAGTGGCCATGTGCTTTGACAGTAAGTGACCTGAGGTTCATCTTTGTGGCAATGTGAATACTACAACTGTTATAAGGTAGCTGAAGCATCTGTTTGCTAGATTTGGGTTTCCCGAAGGAATTGTGACGGACAATGGAGCGCAATCCACAAACTACGAGTTCCGACATTTCCTACAACTCCACGATGTAAAGCACCTACGAACTGCCCCGTACAATCCAGCTGCCAGCGGAATGATTGAGCTCGCAAATCGTTTCGTAGAGGAAAGTATACAGACAGCACGTTTGTCCGACATGCATTGGGAAGATGCCGTAATCGAGGCTCTGTTTGCCCACAGAACGTCGCAGCACAGAGCGACCGATCGCACGTCAGGGGAACTAATGTTCGCCAGGAAGCTACGCACGAAGTTAAACGCGGCTATTTCGGCTACGGAAAACAGCGTACCCGATCAACTGGAGCGTTGCCGACGTTATCATTCCTCTTACGAAAAGCGATCGATACCGTTGTCTCCCGGAACGTTAGTCCGGCTAAAGGAAAGGCAGCCAGCATTATCGCGTCCCATCAGCATTATTCGGACATTAGGGCCAGGAACGTAAAGCTTGCGGACGGCCGCCGAGTTAATCCCAGATAGCTTTACTCAGCTCTTCAACCGAACGCAGTCAATGTCCAGAAACGAGATCCAAAGCAATGGACTTAGCAGCTCGTCACTCATGCTGATGCGCCCAGTTAGGGAGGGGGCGATGTTGTAGCGCCTACCGCAACTTCCAGTCATGTCTATCACGCCCCGCACCGAGCCTGCAAATGATTGGATGAGTGTCATCGACGGATCAATATCAAGGTCATTACGCCTGTACCTTATCTGACACTTTGAATAGTGTCTAGAGCATGTCTACCTCTTGTTCTGCTTTCATTAGCCAGTTCGGCAGTAGTAATTCAAGACCTGCTTGCGCAGGGGCCTAGTGTGCGTATTGGGATACAACAGTTCTTCTTCCTTTACTCTAGACAGCGACAGTTTCCGGGTTCTATTAATCACTGCAGCCTCTGCGGCGCAGTAAGCTTCTTGAATGGTAGTTAAGCGCGGCGTTACCCTTAAACTGGAGCTCGATGTATACCTTTTTTGGATTAGGTCTTTCTTTCGGTGATCTGACTCGGCTGTGCTTCTCGATGAAGTGACGGCTTGCCGTTTCTTATGAGTGTTCTGGTAATGATCTCTAACCATTCAACCAGACAATCACTCGAGCAAATACGCATATCACCAGTGAAAAAATTTTCACCGGTGCGCGTTTGTGAGCCGCCAGTGTGAAATTAGCTAATTGCAGACATTAACCAGACCATGTCGGCTTCCTGTATGCGGACCTCTTAGTGAGCCCAGCATCCCTTCGGCTAATGGGAAGGTTCAAGTACGGCAGGTGGTCATTCAACTCGAATTCATCAGTAAGTAGTCAAATGGTCACTGCAATCGGTTACATACGGGCTAGATTGGGGACTGGAAACTGAACCGTCGCACCACAGATCCCCGCTTCCTTTTTGTTAGAGTGGGCTAACGAGTTATCCGGTTACGGTTTAGACAACGTACCTTTCTTCCGGGACGCGGGATCTAAGCGAGCCGGTTTGTCGGTATCAGTACGGGAGGAGTGGTTGATTTCGCGAGTCTCTGTACTGTGTATAGCTTTTCATATTTCCAACTCGAAAATTTCCTGATGAGTGATTTTCCACCGATCTGTCTTGATCGTACCCTTTTCGATCTGGAACGGTATAGCGGTAGAGAGCGATAAGTCGCGAAATAGACCTTCACAAGATGACTTGCGGATACCTGCAAGCACATTGGAAATCCCTACGGATGAAAGAATTAGAAGCGAATGGGATATGCGACGAAGTTCGAACATATCGAACTTCCACTTTGCTAGATAATCGACTGACTGAAATAAGGTTGATCCGGGATCCTTAGAGCGGTGATGTGAACCAGTTCAGCAAGTCGAGATTGTGTAGTAGATCTGAGATAGAACGAGTAGTAGTAAATTCTACTGAAGGATATTCTCGTTGCTGACCAATACGGCTGTTTCGATCATGCCAAACATTTCGGGCTTAGCATCCGGCGACATGATCCCTTGTCTTCCCTAAAAGGAGATTTAAGCGTACGCTGTGGGTCCAGCTACAAATCCAAAGCTTGAAAGAAGTCGAACTTCATTCGTACTAGTTTGTCTGTGATACCATCCCCATAACGCGCATAATGTGATATTTGCGATATCTAGTCTAAACGACTAGTTTCTCATGGAGAATACGTATTCTTTTCGCGATGAAGGCAAGTTTTCGCTACCAGTGGGTCTACAAACCTCGGTCTTCTAAGACATGCCGTGGAATTGTATCGCAGGCACAAGGTAAGCAGATCTCGCCTGGATGCGATATTGCGGGATTTCGCGGGTTTGGGCTTCTATGAGAAGATTTTCGGCGGTTGCACCTGCACACCAAGTGCTTACTCCAAAATCTCACCGACGGAAGTTGTAGAAAAATTCAGATGAATTAATAGCGAAGTACTCGATGAAAGATGAAATCGCATGTTCGTTAGCAGTTGTAGCTTTGGCTGCTTCTAAGGTCGCCATGACATTTTCCCATCTCTATCGCTGTACCTGCGCATTTACTCCTCTTCGAAAGTCTGAACAGCGCACGGATCCTGCTGCTTCTCGATATTTTCCCTCTCTGTTCTTCATCTAACCTTGTGTTTGGTTGGCGTAGCATTGATCTGTACCGCAAGTAGTGATGGGCAGGTGTAGCACGGGCCCGATTCACCACAACTCCATCTCGTGACTTAACAGGTCACACTCATCAGCATCCATCCTCTTTTTGCATACGAGATGGCTCCACTTACTGGTAGCTCAGGTTGGCTGTTGTTCACCGAGCATGGAAGTTTGGTTGCAATTGTTTCTCCAGCAGTCAAGACGAAGTCATCGGTTCAGAAGAGCTGGCGCATTGACTCCGGTTGTCAGCTTCTACTCCAGTTTTCGTATCGGCTTCTGGTATCAACAACGTTTTGAATGGCCACTCAGTATTTTGCACAGATATGTTGGTAATTGCTATTGGTTCCAGAAATATTGTTGCAACGCATGGAGGATTTCCGTAATTTGATTGGCGCAGTAGTTACGAAGTTCCTGGCTAAGCTTGCGTCGGTTGTCTCGCTTGTCGCCTGGGCGCTGAACCTCGGTTTTTAAATTTTTCCGCAGTTTCATCGTTTTGAATCATCCTCTAGCACTTGGTGCAACAAACTTTTCAAATTTCGAAATCTAAAGATTGGTATTTGAGTTCCACTCTCCGGACCGTATCGTCCAACGATTTACTTCACTCCACATCATTCTGCATGAACACCTGTTGACTACCACCACCTCATTGCGTATCACCTGCTATGGCCTACCTACTACAATTGCCTGTTTTTGATCCATTCTCAACAATTGCACCTTTGTAACTGTCGTTCCCCTACTTCAATGGACATGGCAGCCAGTTGCCTCAAAGTTCTCGCTTTGCGGAATGTTTGTAGGCTGTTTACTCTTGCAATCCAAGTAGAGGCACACCCAGCGGTCTGACATAAGTAAATTGTCACACTGTCACTGCTAGTTGTAGTGTTTATCTAAGATTGGCTTCGCTTGGTGCACACTCTTAAACGATCCAAAGGGAAATCTGACCAAGTCAGTCGATGTGTTCATTGAATTTATTCCTGCGGTCACTCAATCGTGATCACATGATATTCTTAGCTTCATGGAGACACTCCATCCTTTGGCTAGCGATAGTTAGGGTTGAATTTCGCATTTGGGTGTTTTGTTATTCGCTCCCACTGGGCACTAATGATTCGCAATTATACTGAATTGCGGTCCTTCCGACTACACAGATAGTATTCATCCAGATAAGGGTCATTTGGCTTCTTTTCCCAGTATTTATACTTGAACACGTCCCGTCGTTTCACTTGTGTATTTTTCTCGTGTCGATTGGTGCCGTGGTCAGCTGTGGAGCATTGGGATAATCGCATTCCCCTTGAATGGTTGCGTCTATCACAGATACCATAAACGTTCGTGACTACATTCGTTGTGGTCAACCATCCCTAATCTCTAAATGTGTTTTTAAGCTTCACGTATTGTTTCGACACCAGTTTCTTTGAAGGAAGATTCTTCTATACCCCATAAAAGCGAAAGTTGTATCTTAACCACACCCATAACGGTAACACGATAGAGTTTACGAGAGATTATCTTGGTTTTATCCAATGTTTTGCAGGAAAGCAAGTCAGCGAAGGAGATCACCGAACTACGACGAGTTGTTGACCAATTGATGGAGATTCGATCCACTCCGGTAGAACTAGAGACGCGTGAGTCATTCGACATCGATTTTATGTACGTTTACTTATCGGCCGTACCACTTGCGACATTTATTCCTACCACTTTCTTCGCTGTGTTCCTGACTATAGTCACACTTTCCTGATAGGATTAACTCGAATAAGCCATAAGAGTTTCGCAATGGCCTCTCAGAACCGCCTGGAGCAGCCGCCTAATTAGCTGCTGCCTGTCGCACACACGTGTGTGCGACCACATACTCAATTATGTGCTGAACGATTTCGTATTACCTTACTACCAAATGGTCATCCTTTTGAACATCTAATCATGTACCGTTTTACTGCGATTTTGCTTTCAGATACCGCAATTGCCGAAAAAATTCACAAACATGTCAACACGGATGAATTTATGCAAGGCCTGGCCACTCAGCAGGGTGCGTTCGACTTTTCTTTTTCTCATTGTTCTACTGTCTGATGCACTATGATAGACAAACTGAAAAGTGATTGGCTCTGATTCACCGGCTCACACTATTCCTTAGACATGTCTTTTTGACATGCTTGGTGGCATCCGGTTTCGGATTTGCCTGTCACTGTGACCAACCACAGGGCGCCTGCGCCTACAGAGGGACCATGGGTGGCTTTCACTGCACCACCCACAGCTCCAACCACACAACCCATATTCAGTGTAAACCCGAAGGAATAAGACTGGGAGGCATGTGGATGGGAGCCACGTTTCATCAACGGAGCTGGCCCACACTCCTTCATAGGCAATCACAAGCACGCTGTATTTAGGAATCAAGTGCACACAAGGCGGCGGCTGGACCGTGGTCCGCTCCAAACTGAGTGCATGGAATCACTCTTCGAGCCTAACACGGCCACAAGGACCGTGCACTCCGTCCCCTCCAGCAACGACCAACTGTCTCCTAGAGCCGGTATGGACAAGGTAGTGGGTAATAGACAACATGCACATCAAGCGCAGCCACATCGGTGATGTCAAGAAACAGCCAACGATATCAAATAAAGTAGACCGAATAATATATGCAGGTACGGTGACATAACTCTTCAATTAATGAGCACATGAAATGAGTTGATCTCGAACAAATCTGTGATAAGTTCAAGACGTTAGAAAATATATTTTAAGAAAATGCCACAAACACGAAAATCTTTTCGAAGTTAACTAAAGTAGTTCAAGGGACGTGTGCTAGTTTATAGATACTCCAGGTAGACATTAATATAAGATAAAAAGCATTAGGACAATATAGCAAACCCAACACCTGAAGCAAAGACTTAGCATGCAACCATGCGGTTAGTAAATCGAATGCAGCGTAATAGAAACGTTGCCCCGGTTCTGCGTACGTTCTCTACAGGACTCGTCGTCTTTTCGGTGCTGGGCCCTAGTGGCCTCGCTCGTGGCTCACTGGGCCTGCCTGACTCAGGCACTCGCGACTGCATGTGTTACAGCACCATGCGCTTGATGCCGATGGAGTCCACTCCATCGGTGCCTGCTGCTTCTTCTCTGCATGCGCGAGAGATTACTCTTGCACCTCGACAACGACCTTCGTGATCAGATCACACCGTGCACGCTGATCAATCGCCTTCGATTCCCAACATCTGAAATCAAGATTATAACGTGAGAAGCTCACTTTGATCATATCCCGGCAACGAAGCTTCGGTTTCCCCACATGTCGCTTCCCCAAACTCAGCTGACTATATAATAGCTGCTTCATTATCCGCGTCGAATCCATACGCCACACATGACCGAGCCACCTAAGGTGTCTCAGCAAAAGTATGCAGTCCACTTCATACATTCCACTACGGCGCAACACTTCCGTGTCAGCAACTCTGTCGCATCAACCAATACGCAGCATCCGTCGCCAGAAACTGTTGATGGAACCGCTCGAAATATCGCACATCCCGCCGGTACATCGTCCACGTTTCACTGTCGTATAGAAGAACGAACGGCACCATGGATTTGTACACCATCACCTTCGTGCAAACGGTAAACTGATGGTTATTCCAAACTCGGTACTCTAGCTTCCCGAATGTCGCCACTTCCTTCGAGACACGGATCCGAAGTTCACTGTGTGGCTGCTGGTCAATCGACACCACACTCCCAAGGTAGCTGAAACGGAAGGTGGTTTCCAATACTTCTACGTTGGCTCGGACACGTGCTACGCATGCCTGGTCACCGCTTACCTAGGAGGGCCTTGTTCAGTCTACCAGGTGTCAGATGGCGCAAGGCTCGAGGTGGACAGAAGTTGACTTGGCAGCGGGAAATGAAGTCACTGACGACCAAACTGGGTGCCGTTGGTCCGTCTCGCCTTCCGGGTTGGAGTCCACGTGACTCACCTTGTGCTTGGCTCGAGACTTTACAGGACATGGCTCGCAGTAGACACCAGTGGCGCTTCTGCTGCCGTCTCCTAATCAGATTGTCTGTTTAAAGTGTGTTTGGTGCTGAGTTATCTGCAGGGTAGTGGCTGATTATGACGCGTGGCAGTGAAAGCCGCAAGGAAGCTGTCTCGCTGATGCCGCCTTATCTTTGCACGATAGCCAGCTGTTTGTGACGGTATGTTGTCTACACAAGGTGTAGCCGCCTTGACCCTGAATGTTTGCTTAGGGCATTAAGGTTTTCAGGTAAGTCCCCCTTCTCTCCCTTTTCTTCTTGCTTATTTCAAAGGTCCTCATGGTTGTATGGCAGCGAAGCATCAGTTCAAATGGCTGATTTACTGCTGTTGATGATGATGATTCCAATACTTCAGCACCAATGCTGATTCGCGGCACCATTGTAGATCGCACCTCCGGTAAATGTTGAAAGAGACAGACGGTTTTGCTTGTGTTGATAGTGAGCTCGAATTTGACCGCTGTCGAAGCCAGAGCACTAGTCATGTGCTGCAACTCATCCGCGCTGCGTGCAAACAACGCAGTCGTCAGCAAACAGAAACATACGGATAGTTGTCTCACAGACTAGAGTTCTCGCACCGAAACGACGGATGTTCAGCAACCCACCATCAATACGGTGCTCCACACGAACACTGTAAACACAAGCGACATCAAAAGCACAAGACAACATTGCATGAAGATAAATAGTACACAGGGCAGGAGCTAAGACACAGCCTTGCTTCACACCAGAGATAACTAGTCATCTGAGGTCTGTTCACTCAGCTGCACCCTTGCCCCCATACCACTGTGCAGACATTCAATTAAACTTACAAAATTAAGCGGCAACCAAACTTATCCAACACCAGCCATAATGCCTCGCGGTTCACCGTATCAAATGCCTTGGTGAAATCAACAAAAGCGAGTACAACGGCTGGTATCGTTCCCTACACTTCTGCAACTGACGAGCCGCAAACACCATATCTATAGTGCTGCGACCCGAAAGGAATCCACATTGCTCTTCCGCCACGTTAGGTTCCACAACCAAACTGACGAGGCGGTTGAGCAGGATTCAGGCAATCACCTTGCCCACACAACTCAGCAAGTTGATGCCACGATAATTCGTGCAACATTGCTTGCTACCTTTGCCCTTGTACAGTGGTAGCACAAGGGCATCCTTCAGCTCAGCAGGCACCTCCTTCACAATCCACACGCGTTGCACCAGGCGGTGCAACGCAGTCACCAACGCAGATCTGCCGTGTTTTAACACTTCAGGTAGGATCCCGTCGGCCCCAGCACACTTGCCGTTTCGCAGCTGAGCAAGTGCTCTCTGCGTCTCATCCGGTGTCGGCGTGTCTGCCAGACTCGCCTTCACCTCGTGCTGTTACAGACCGTTCAATCTAGGCCAGTCGATCTCTGAACGGTTGTTCAAGAGACAGTCAAAGTGTTTTTGCCAGATCTGCATTATGTCTGCAGTCTGTGTGCAGGCAGCGCCTGAAGTACCATCGATCAGCGTCCTCAGCGGCTCTAATTTCGGTCCTTTAATGAGTCAAAGAATTCCTTGTTGGCGGCGTTCAACGTAGCATTCCATCTGCTTCGCCTTCTCCGTCCACCATGCATTTTTAATGCGACCGAGCTCTCGGGTCAGTCGCCATCGAATTCTGTGAGACTTTCTCTTCTTAAGTTACTGGGGTCTGCCACATGTGCAGAAAACGCTGCATTCTTCTCCCATACCAATGCGATGATCGTCGCATTGTTCTCATCAAACCAATCGGGCCGCTTACGGTTTGCGCGCCCGATGGTCTCCTCGGCAGCAGCTATCACCTGGTCGCGAATGTGGTGCAACAGATTGCCTACTGTGGCTATGCAGTCCACATCACACAGGCGTGCAGCGATCGCCTTCTCCAGCTCTATACGTTTCGCCACAGTACCGAGGGAGAGAATGTTAAATTTACGCCGATTCACGGTGGGAGTGCAATACATAGATTTACGAAAATATATGTACAGTTTGGTCCGCACCGATTTGTGATCAGCGCCACACTCAGCTCCACGCAGTACACGTGCCATGCGCACTTCACGCATATCACACTGACGTACGATGACCTAGTTGACCAGGTGAGCGTGACCACTCCGTAAGCGCGTCCAAGTTGCTATATCACTCGCACTCAGTGCAAATCGAGTGTTCGCTGAACCAATTCCATGCAGACCGATAACATCTGTCCACACTGATGCATCACGCCCAACGCGCGCGTTGAAATCACCCAGCAGAAGTAGTCGTCCGCTTCTCGGCACAGACCTTATCACGGAGCATAACCGAGCGAAGAAGTGATCACTCGTGTCATCGGGATAACACATGGTCCGTAGGTGCTTGTAAAGTGGCAAACTTACCTATTCCTAGTCGTAGGCGAACAGTCATCAGTCGCACGCTGATGCTGTTAGTTCACCCACCAGGTGGTCGTTTAGACGATCGGATGTTGCAAATCCGACCCCATGATCACGTGGTGCTGAGGTGGCGTTGCCCACTCGGTAAAACATGTAGTCAGCAACTGCTTCATGCAAATTACCTTGCTCAGCGAGCCGGGTCTCACTTAGCGTCGCAATATCGATGTTATGCCGCGCCAGCTCCATCGCGACCAGTGCAGTGCGTTGCTCAAGGCGCTCATTTGAGTTCCGGTCCAGTAGTGTGCGCACGTTCCGGCACCTGATGCTGAGTGCTTTGCGCGCAGGCGTAGGATTGCACTGGTAGGCAATAGCGCGCGAGGTGGTCGTTGTGCTTCGGAGGTTTTCTTGAGGTACTCCACCCAGAACCTTTGGCTCAGTAGCCTGACCCACAAGGCAGTGGGTGGTTTGGAGGTTTGCTTGATGGACTCCGCTCAAAACTTTTAGCTTAATAGCCTGACACACAAGGCAGTGGGGAGCAGATCCAGCTCGGGAATGTGATTGCAGAGGCAAATTGGGATCTGCCTGAGGTCCATCACACGCAGCCTTTGAGGTACTGGAACGATTCATGTATGTTTTGCGACCGTAGTAGGATACGCACCTGCGACCATGGCTAGACGCAGGAGGGTTTTGGCGGGTTTGCACCAATTTGACCAGAGGCTGCCTGGCTTGAGGCGGGCAGTATCAAACCATTGAACAGCCGGAGGTGCCCTCCCACCATCAGAGACTGCGTGGCGCTCGTGCTCTATGCCAATCGAGCGGTGAGCTTATAACTCGTAGATCTGTTGTCTCCCATGGCTAGGTTTTGCGGGAAGGGGGCCATCGACCACTACCTAACGTCCGAAGAGGATGGGCTAGGATACTGGCAGGGCGCTCACACCTGAAGGAGAACAACTCGGATCCTCAGCCAAAGCCTTCGATTAAATGTACACCCGAAAGACAGCGGGTCTAGCACATGGTCAGTTCACTGACTCATGCGGATTGGTGTCCTGGATCTTAGCAGGGAGAAGGGCGTAACCCAACTCCCACCCAGCGATCGTCACGAGGCGTCCAGGACATGAGCCCATGGCACAACAGTAGCAGGCGTGGGTAGACCATCTGTCAGGGTCAAGCCACCACCAGCCTCAGCGCACCATAGGCTCTCCCGAATTTTTGACATATTTCGTATCTAACGGGACCTCGGGATGTTCTGGTCTCACCAGACTACTTTTGACACAGTTCACAACTTAAATTTATGGTATTCTCGACGACGATCCCTCACAACACTACAGCCTACGACTGGTTTGATTCTTGTTTCTATCTCCCAGATAGAGAAAGCTGAAGCTTGGAACAGAATCCACGACCTTAAAGTTTTCCGGCCGACCCCATACCACTAAGGCACTGAGCTTGAAGAACAGGATCCATTACCGCGACTGTCTTTTGCCATGTTCACCGCAATACCCATCATAATCCGAGTTGAAATCGAGTGGCACAGTCCAGACACCCAAATTGTATTTCAGAACCAGGGTATTTAACTACGCCTGCCTTTTTCATTCGCTATTTGCTGCTCGCATCACGGAGATGTTGATGCACCAACCGCTATTCTTACTGGAACGAGCATCATTCTCAGTATTAGGGCTGCCTCCTCTCTGGTTCTTTTAAAGTTTAAAATCTAAATGAGTGTCTACGTACAACACATTTGACAGCCGTGACTAATATACGTAAACAAAGCAGGACTATTCATTGCTTGTTAGTAATTAGTGCTCCCACTTCAATCGGCCACATCCCTAATGCCAGTAAAGATGCTTCTGTCGCGTTTTGTCAACGCTAGCAGCACCAATCTTATGATCTAGACCCCGAATGTGATACAACAGAACAAACCAAACAGGTGTTGGTTGACATCAAGGCCCGATCTCGTGTTGGCCCTTTTCTCCATATACAGTGTGAATAGATAAAACGCCGGAAGAGTGCGTTGCTGTGTGTCAATCCATTTAGGGGTTATCAGACAGGAGCTGTGTCCGACCCCAGAAGACGCAAAAAGGGCAGCCATTTACGATTTCCTAGATTGCAAAGTTTAAAGGGATATTATACAGCATTCTTGAAGCACCCCACTAATCGTGAACCTTACGGACAGCCTCTTGTTGATCACCACCAAGTATCTGGGGTTTATGTAGTCAGAATTCGGAAACCAGAGAATGGCATCCGGTACATTGAGGATAGGCAGTGCCACAAACAGGTGGTCTCCAAGTCTAGTGCTTTTGGGTTTTCGATTTACCGGAATAACAGTGCGGTCTGTTCACTTCCACCTCAAGCTTTGACTTCTCCGTTTGTGGTGTCTTATGTACCTTCCTGTCTTTAAACATCATTATCTTCGGAGCATTGTGTGTCCAGTTGTACCGGTATATCTACAACAATGGGCCGCTCTTAGTTCGCACAGTGTGAAACCCGTTTTGAGGTATCCCACCAGTTAGACCGATAATCTGAGCGGTGAATATCCATTTAATGATAGCTACCCAATTTGTGCTTTTGAAATGAACCCTTATGTTGCTGTGCTCACTGTCCTCAATCTTTGGATCCATCAAAAACCATCGAAATCAAAGGATGGTACAGTTATCGTGAAAAGAAAACCGAACACTACAGAGAGAATTCCATGGTTTCGTCAGAGGGCACGATAATATCCGGTTACTCAGGCCGAGATAGGATTAAGGCAAGATTTAGATGACACCACCTCGAGTCTTTGGCTGAATGTTATCCTTATCTTTACGGTTTAAGGGTGACGCAATAACGAGACGGACCACTCGAAGGCTTTCTACAGCCACAGCGAGAACGAACTTTGCTGCCGGTCTGGGCTTAAGCCTCACCTCATCACCGATTTTGCGCCAGCAACTCAAGGATAGGATACCTCGGTTGCATATTTTCTTTTGTGCCTACAATTTCTCTTGCTTGTGTCCAGCGAGGTATATTGGGAAAACGACCAGGCGACTGTCCGTTAGAGCTCGAGAGCATTGCCCAGCGTGGCTCTACAGCGGTGTGAGGAAGAGTGTTACGGATCCAGTGTTGTCGCAATTAAGTAGACTCTCATCGCCGGATCAATTTGCATGACGCGTTCACACCAACCTACAAGGTATCCTGACGCTACACAAGTGCGTTCAGATGCCGCCTGCTGTCGACAGCGGAGACAGCTGCAACTCGGCACCATAACCCGGACTTGTGTGCACAGGCAAAATTCGTCTAAACTCTTAGTGCACCTTGGCCACAGGCCAGTATGATTAACATTGGCGGTCACGCCACCTCACATCAACCAGACCAATCAAGCAATCTTATCGATTAGGCACTTTGCTTCGATGATTCACTAAATTTAAACCTCTTTTATCTATTCTAGCTTGTTTTTTCGTGATTGTATTAGCCTGATGATGAAGCTCTGAAGACAAGCTTGCTCGCTATTTTCTGTTTCTGATCTCTTCTCCGGGAATTATCTCACAATTCGGCTGAAGAACCTGCACGCGAGAGCGAAGCAAATTCAGGGGATTGCATCCATTGGAAACCGGTGACTGACTACTGAGTTCATACGCCGTTAGTTTAGTCAACTGCCAATGGCCCGATCCTCCCTACAATTTCAGCATCACGTCGCTGAAACACGATGCCCCACCAGAGTGAAGCAAGAAACAACGAGTTCATTAATTGGCGAGCCATATCCACCAAGTCAGTGTTGTTAAACGGACATTTGTGATTTTTTATATGCAGAGCGCTTGTCAGGCGACAATCTACCACGTCCTGGAACACTGCCGCTGAATTATTTTTTGAAACGGGAGAAATCCGAACCACCCAGCTAGCACCACGCGGTTGTTCGGCTAGCCATTAGCCAAAGAATGTGTACAAATCTTTAGCATAACTCATCTTTTGCATTTAGGCCTGCACAGCGTACTAAGCAAACTTAAGCGTTCCATATGAGTCAACTTAAGTGTTTCTCTCTCAGAAAGATCGCTCAAAAGCTCTTGTGTTTCATTCCCTTTAATTTCAAAATCTCAAACCTTCCTTAGTATCACGCGTCATCGTATTTTTACACATACCTAGTCTTCACCCATGATGTACGGCGTAGTGCATTTCCTGAATTCAACACCTTACTGTGCCGTGATTCACAAGGCCTTGCGACGGAGTGACCCTTAGTTTTAGCCGTATACGTTTGGCTTGCGATACGCAGTCTCAATTTGGACTACGGTTTGCGTGGAAGTGAGCCATTCTTCCCACTCAGACCTCATTCGAAATAGGCGAAGGCACCAGCAGTACGTTGGTACGCAGTACCGACGCTTCGCTGCCGCGTAACCAATACCGGACGCACGTGGGTTAACGATACTGCGAGGGTCGCCCTGCCCCTACGCAGGCTCGAACCAGCGCCGTCAGATTACTAGACAAGCTTGTTACCTTTAGGCTACGTGCCAGCCACTCGAAATGGAGGTGCTGGCCTTCAACGTGTGCGTCTCGAATTACGCTCACAGCTCCGTCCATCTCAACCTAAATACTCAAAATAATGAAGAAACCGGTCGTTGAGTGCGGTGTTGGGAGCCGGCAATATCGTATATGTCTTCACTTCGGACACGGTCCCAGCACTCAGAATGGCCGTTTTCCCTAAATTAGATCGTGATTCCGATTATGATTGTGTGGCAATTCAAAGACACGGTGGGCACTCCAAAAGTACAACAACTAACTTCTACTCTCTGTATCAACTGTTGCTCACGGAGCTCAATGGCCTAGTGGTCAAGACGTAGGCCAGTAACCGACGCGTAGAGAGCTCTACTTCCAGCTTCAGCCATCCCTGCTAGTTTCGTCTAACCAAGGATGGAACTGGTCTTAGGATGCAGTGTTAAAAAGTCGATATCAAAAACTGCCAACAGCGTCGTCCTTTAAGCTTCTGCTTGAGTCTGATCCTTTTTTTACGGAAGTATTTTGCAGCACCGTAGGCATCTATTGACCTTGCAATAAATCAACGGTGTCTTTTGTTTTATCAACGAGTTTTCCTTTGATTTCAGATTTCCTTTCCGGTATTGAGGCCGACAAAGCCCACCCCTACATCGAAGATTGCATACTCCGTGTCGCACCGCTTGAAGAGGTAGGACCCCTTCCCCGAGTATTTAAATATTGACAATTGATGTCCAAGCGGCTCGGGCTTCGCTTACAATCCACAGGTCGCCAATTCGAGCCTGTGGGTGAGAGATCGCGCGGCATCCTTAGCCTGCAAGCGTATTGTTGGCGGTCGCGTAGCAACGAGGCGCGCCTACAGGCGTTCTGCTGTTACCTTATTCTAAATCATATCCCATGACCACTTAGCTTCGGGGCTCGAATTTCTTTAGATTTTTGTGAGTGGTTATTTTCTTGAATCGAGCCTTTGAGAGATGTGTCCTCACTTGCTTGTCTATCGAAGTGTGTGCACCAACTTGGGTGTTTTAATTGCCGATTTCTTCGAGTGGTGCTTTCGTTCCGTTGTTTGCCTGTCATCTCGTTTATGTACGCTTACTAGTCTGATTTTTCTTGAAAGCAAGTCGCAGTGTACCCGTGGAAAACTGAGGCTCTTCCTTTGTTTCAAGTGGTAAGAATAAATTTACTATCTTGCCGTCCCTTCGGATAGACAACCCACTGTCATCTAGTTATTCACCGGTCTTCATTTGCAAGCCTATTTTAAACTACGACTATAAATGGATAGGTATCTATTTCAGAAACAGGTTGGTGTGTTCAAGTGAAGAAAATGCTTTATGAATCCTAAACAAGCGAATATTCAGCTACAACGCACATAACAGTGATAACAAAGTAAGATATTGCAGGCGAACACGAGTGAAAGAAGCAGTCCAATAAACTGAGTGATTTAATTTACCAGCTAACTCGTTAATGACGAATAACGCGCTAGATAAGGGATGCTCGAAGAATTCTGGACCCGTGTGCGAGCAATATGGTTTTGTGCTTTCATCTGCTCGAGAAAGTAGATACAAAAGGATAGTGTACTATGGAAGGGTTGGATAACATCCGTGAGCATTTTTGATGCAGATTTTTTGAAGCCACTGACACGTATGGACACTACAACGTTAACAAGTTTGCTTTGAAATGACGCCACCGATGGAATTGTTTCAGTAAGTTGCGGAATGTTTTAAAATGATTGCTCAGTAAACCCAAACAAAACCATAAGCAGCACGTCCAATGGAGTACAACGCAGACAATGGCAAATTGAAAATCCTAGCAGCGGATCTCCGATGGCAGTCTCCTGAATTTTCAAGTACTTCACTCACATGAGCGACCATAGCTACTCGTGGCACAGCATGGCTCCTAAATATTTCACCGATGTAAATGAATGTAAACCCTCGTTGTCAGTCTGAAGTTAGCGGCCTTCTACGAAAAGTTACAAGTTTTGAGCCATAGTGTAAGTTTGTCCAAATAGACTCGTACCTCAGTTGAAGATAATTAAGATCACATTATCTGCTTGCTTAATTAAAGCGCCTTTGGTGGTTTTACATGTGTCTCTGAGAAACGGACTGGGGTCACTTTCTTTTCCGAGATTTTTGCAATAGGACTCCTGGGAACGCTGCTTCAAAGTATGGTTCGCTGAGACTCCCGCCACCGCTCTAATAAAATGAGATGTCGACACCAAACAAAACGAACTTAATACTTGGGGTCAAGACTGCAGATGCGACAACATCCTACACCATGTCACAGTTTCTAAGCATCGAGGTGGCCGGTGTCGTTGTTCCTACTAAGGGAAGCGACGCAATTCGGCCTCCCGATAGGCTCCTTCATTCTCCTTTGTCAAGGCATCGTTGGGGCTCCGATCGCAATGGCGCAATTCGAGCACACGACGGATCACAATGGTCCGGTCCACAGGGCAATGACTTAAATGGTGTCTGTCTGCTTTTTATCAACCTATAGATGATATTAAGTGTAAATGTACAGCATCATATCACATATTTTACCATTTTGCTCGGTCCCCACTTCCAGGTCCTCCGACTTATATGTGTACAGTCGTTTTGCAACGGTGGCCTCAAGCAGCGCCTTCTGGAGTATTACAAAAGAGAAATTTTGCAGGTAATCACCTCTTTAGTCCAGTTTCTAATCCTGGATATTCCGTATTCCAGCACACGCCCCTCAATTTTTGAGCGCCCGCACTTTGGTCGAATGTATATCCAACTGCACTGTATGCTGAGAAATTAATGGCTTAATTGGTATCTGATTAGTATCTCATTTTTGGTACGCGTCACTTTCAACCAGTTTTTTAATCATGATTGGTGGATCACAATCGGTTGTAGTGTCAGCCGGCGACCGAAAAGATTACGTGCTTGCCTTGTAATGCGGAACTCACCGGTTCGAATCTGCCGTAGACGCGGGCGACTTCGTGGTATACCCATCCCCACGCGACCGGCGGTAGGCGATTGACAGCTAAGCGTCGGTACGATGGGATGGCGTACTTCTGATGCCGTTTTTAATCGAGCATAGCCTCCGTAGAACAATCATGAATTACTGACTGGACATAGTTTCTTGCTAAGATTCTTTCAAACACAGGAGCACGTAGGAGCTAACGTCAAAGTTAGCCGCGGTCGGGCGCTCTCGGCTTCCTGGCTGGAGTGTGAAGGATCCGGAACACGCATGGTTGCAAACATTCTCGGACCCGTGCGCAATGGCAGACTTGTTGTGACTCTCTATTCCCATGTACACCATTTTTTCCTCTCCCTTCCTGTTTATTGTATTTTCCATACGTTGTGGCATTATGCCAACTGTACTGTTGGCCGTGTTGAATATATATATATATATATATATATATATATATATATATAGCTGTTGCCCCATGCTGAGGCTGATGTTGCATTCTTGATGCTTCTTCACCGCAGTTGGGCTAAACCAACTTACACTTAAACTAGGTCTTTTTAAGCTGGATAAATTTCCTTCCACTTTATTTAGTTTGCTCTGTCTACCTGAATAATCTTCTCTTAACTGGCCACGTTGCTTTCGCTAATTGCGCTTATCTTCGGTAATTTTTTGCGTTTGTAGCATTTTAAGTAACTTGTGGACATTTCTTACTTATTACGGGTTCGTTGCTAACCAACTTACTTCATATTGTAATTTAGCGAAGAGTTATGTCACCGTATCTGTATGCATTATTGGATTTATTTTATTTCAGCTTGTCGTTTAAAGTGATTGGCTATTGTTTGATATCCCCAGAGTGGCTGCGCTTGATGTGTATGTTGACAAGGTGCCTACCTGTCTATTACCCACTACCTCGTTCATACTGGCTCCATGAGACAGTTGGTCGTTGCTGGAGGGGACGGGGTGCACGGTCCTTGTGGTCGTGCTAGGCTCGAAGAGTGGTTCCATGCAGTCAGTGTGGAGCGGACTACGGTCCAGCCACCGCCTTGTGTGCACTTGATTCCCCAAATACAGCGTGCTTGTGTTTGTCTGTAAAGGAGTGTGGGCCGGCTCCGTTGATGAAACGTGGCTCCCATCCACCTGCCTCCCGGTCTTATTCCTTCGGGTTTACACTGGATATGGGTTGTGTGGTTGGAGCTGTGGGTGGTGCAGCGCAAGCCATCCATGGTCCCTCTGTAGGCGCAGGCGCCCTGTGGTTGATCACAGTGACAGGCAAATCCGAAACCGGAGGCCGCCAACCATATATAGCTGGAGTATGATATTGGACCCTAGAAACGTGTAAATATATTGATTTACCTCTAATTCATCCAAACGACCGAGGTTTCTCGGGTGTTGTCTAGCACATTATTTATTATTATACTGGGGATTATTTTTTTACGAATTAGCACTTCTTACTATCGTGTAAGGGACAGACACTTCACGCTTAGGACCAGTTCTTCCCAAGTCGTGAATCATTTGTATTCACACGCTAATTTGGATGGGCTGTTGGAAGCTCCAAGGGCTTTTCACGCATCCAAAGGAAACTAGCTTACAATACAACCAGAGTTTTAAACCAAAATCCTCGATCCGACTTACTATGTCTCGTTATGCGTCATTCTTTGGCGCCTGTCACGGAAATGAACTAACACGTTCTTAGTCACTCCCTTTGATAGGTTTACGGATTCGAGCACGTATTCACACTGGACAACCTGGAGCGCATCGGCTTGTTATACGATGCGTGCATGACTTCCGGTGGTGCTGTGCCCAGACGACTGTTAGCTACGTCCAGCTGCACTAACAAACCAGAGATATCGACCGCCAAACAGACCATCACCACTGTTAGCGGAATGTTCAGTGGTACACTAAAACGAGGTCTACGTCTGTTAGTTTCACCTTCCTCTTCGTTGGATCAATCTGATTCGGATCAATCCGTTGCTAACGCTTATTCTGGATACGTTCCTCTTTCGACACGAGTAATTCAGATCCTGTCGCTTGATTGGATTCCGAAAGCAGTTATTGGAAACCCTGAGCAGCCGTTTGGCTCTGTGTCGGCAGCAGCCTCGGCATTACTCGGTGGCATTGGCTTGATCCCAAGCCCCTTACCTGAGGAAAACGTCAATCCTTCTCAGACGAAAATGCGTATTTTCCCAAATCACCAAACTTTCTCCAACATGAGTGCAGCGGGCGGATCTCCGCGTGCCCCTAATTCTCAGCAGAGCGATGCACTGAAGTTTGTGATGAATGCCATGCCCGGTGCTTTCTTGGAGGAGTCGCAAGCGCGTCACTCAGCAGGATATTATGATATTGCGCTGAACACATGCACAAAAAGAGCTGATTCCAGATCAAAGGCGCGGGTGATTGCTGTCGCCTTCGTTGGAGGTGTAACACATGCTGAAATCTCTACACTCCGTAGCCTGGCTGCTTCGAGTGATGGTATGGTCCTCATTTCGTCTGTGATTCAAATTTTATTTACAGTAACTTTCTTCTTACATCGCGGTAGTCAAAATCTGCTATAGTATAGAGTTTGAAAGCAATATAGATCGCTGTTCCCATTTCCGAACGATCTGGGTGAACTACACTAACTTTAATCCGCCGAAGCCTGTTTGGGCCTAGGCAGCGCGAGCCTACCAAATACCGCTCTTTGGTATTTCGTTGGTGAGTGCAATTGACTTCATAATGCTACTTTGGTAGGACTCACAGCTGTATATTCCAATATCTGTTATATATATTCCTTTTTAATTCTTGTGCATCGGGATTACTGTGTTCACCCACCGTCGAATCAGATTTTTACTATTTGCCACATAGCGTCACTTCCTTTTATTGCATAGTCCGACTTCGAAAATAATGCGGTATGCAGAAGTGTAGTAAATCTTGGGGTTTTTCATGTTCGTCTGACGATCAGAACTAATTCGAAATAACCATAGTTTCGTATCGGCACATCACCTTAACCAAATAATGGCTTTTCTACTAACCATAACTAAGACTTTTTCAGCGATGTTTAATGGACGCATTGTTCAGCGCTAGCGCATTGGTCCTCTATCCACTCCTACCGTTTAGCTTCGAAGTGCATTGTTGAATGGACAGTTCAATCTGCGTTTGTGGTATTCGTGTTAGCGCCGGCGATACGCAGGTCATGTAGGCAGATGTAGGATCACAAACTGTCACCGTTGCTGTCTATCAAGGTGGCACTTCACGCCACCACTCCTCTGGACGCTGATAGGAAGCTGGAAGTGTTCCTCTTCATGCAAACCGTTCTGTTTCGTCAAGCGGCGACCTACCCTAAGATCCAGTGGCGTATACTGAGCTTCCTCTTCGTAGTCAGGAGTGATTACAGCTGGTCGATGGACGATCTAACTGCCAGACATCCCAACCCGACCCAACTTAATCCACGTTACAGGTCAAAGTGTCATTCCAAGTGGCACATTAGGGGTGCAAACATGCCAAGTTGGTTCATTGTACGATGTCACCACGCATAAGTCCTAGTGGTTTATGGGGATAGTGGTGGTTTGACGTTCGCTCCCTGTCCCTGATCCGTCAGCCGACAATTCCTAGACTGACCGGGTTGAGACAACATTCGATCACTTCACCCCATATGTTCTGTTAGCTTTGGCGATTTCTAGTGCCTCAGAAGTTAATCTTTGGGGTGTTGATTGCAACTCCATCCTAATGATCTTGGCACTATCAAAGTCGATGTAATGCATTGTGTCTAACGCGTGCATCACCACCGCACAATCTCTTAATAGAGCTCGTTCCTCGGCGCCTGTGTTCTGCTAACCTGCGCAGTTCCTTTTCGGTTTGACCTATGTACTGGTGTGCACAATCCTTGCAACTGATCTAGCAGGGGCGTCCACGAGGTTAACGAATAAATTAGCGTGTTTTCAAACCTATCTGAAATCATGAACCAGTTTATTCTTAGACTCGATCATCCACTTGTTTGTAACTAGTGACAATCGCGACTTCATGCTTGTTCATTCTTATCCTTTCAGATAACATCGAATTCATCTTCATCACCACAGGGTTCTTAAGTGCCCACACATTCCTAGCGTCTATGGCCCAATGTGTTCAGCCCGCCCAACTATTGCCATTCTGAACTAACTTACGTCATATCCGATACCACGCTTTTTGATTCTCCTTTTTGCCTTCCCCAATACACAATTACTATGACTCGAGCCTTGTTACAAAAATACCAGCCAAATGGAAGGAAGACAGGCACCTCCAGTTCGTGAAGGTACGCTTTCGGGGACTAAACGGCCGACTCCTCACGAGTCCTACACATTTATTTACAGTGATGCGACGTTTGCCATTACACCATAAAACTCCAGGCAATTCAACAGTCAGGCAGACGATTCTGCCTACTACCCTCATTCATTCATTCAGTATACACGTCAACTAGAGGTGGGAAACACCTCAGCTACTGTGCCGCAATACATAAATGAAAAAGGAAAATAAATATAAAAGTTGAATGCCAGCTGAGCTACCAGCAACGGATATGCATCGTTCCGGTAAGCTACCAGCCGGCTACTAGACAAAAAGAAAAATTATTATGTTTTACCCTAAGAAATGAGATCGTAGGTGGAGGGTGGGGCTAAAAAGAATAAGAAGGGACAAAGAAACTCACAGCAGGAACGCCACTGAGATCAGCTCCTTGCCATTTCAGCCAAACGTGTTCACCGTCTTTTGGACCCCAACAAAAGAGCTGTGACGCTCCAACCGAGGCCAGCACAGAAGTGAGGGCCTTCATTCCTCTTGACCAAGTCATCGAATGGCCACCCCTCCTCTTCTTCCATCCACATCCCCGGTGAGCAAACAACGCACGTCGTGGAAGTCGATGGGCTGGCATGTGCAACACGTGGCCGAGCCATCGGAGCCTGGTGCGTGAAATGACTGTGCTGAGCGGTTCAGTTCCTTTTCCTGTGCCGTAAACAAGGCGTCGAACACGCTCGTTGCTCACGCGGTGTTCCCACCAGATGTGAGCCAAGCTGCGAAGGCACCGATGGTCGAACGTAACTAGCCTCTCCAAGTCCGCCAACCTTAGAGGCCAGGTTTCGCAACCGTACAGTAAGGTCGAACGTACCGCTATATTGTACACTCTACCCTTCAGGGCGAGAGTAATGTCGCGCCGCCGCCATAAATGGCGAAGGTTAGCACGAGAACTTCGAAGTTTTGCTATCCCATTCTCATCCTCAATCCCACGGGCGCTGATGCAACTTCCCAGGTAGTTGAATTTTCCATCGACTTCTAGCTGATCCCCACCAAGGGTCAGCGCAGGAGACGATCCCTGCCAATCTTGGAGGAACGCTTTGCATTTCGATGGTGCAAAGCAAAGCCCGAAGTGGCTGACAACCAGTGCTAATCTGTCCAGTGCGGCTTGGCACGTCTGGGAGCTGTCACAGATGAGGGCAATGTCGTCTGCATATTCCAAGTCAAGAAGTCGTTCTCCTGGGAGTAGCTCCACACATTCCAAGTCATGTCCTGTAAATGCAATCTCCATGACTTCGTCAATAGCGAAGTTGAAAAGGAAAGGTGACAGCGGGCATCCTTGTCTCACACCGCTGGAGATATTGAAGGGCGGCGACAGCTTGCCGTAAGTCCTCACTCTGCCCGTGCTATGCGCATGTAATTCTCGGATAATATTTACATATTTCTCGGGCACACCTTTCCTGAGTAGACAGTTCCAAAGGGCACATCGATCAACCGAATCGAAGGCACCTTTGATGTCGAGGAACACGACTACGGTGGGCCGCCAATATGTGTGACGGTGCTCCAACAACTGACGCAAGGTGAAGATGTGGTCGATACAGCCACGACCCCGACGAAACCCGGCTTGCTCCTCACGAATCTGGCTTTCATTAGCGCCAGTCAATCTGTGAAGGATTTTGGGGGCGATAGAGGTCAGACTGATTCCTCTATGTTTGCCGCATTCCGAACGCGAGCCTCCTTTGAAGATGGGAACAATAACGTAGCGGCTTTAGTCGGTTGGGACAGTCTACTGCTCCCACAGTTTCACTAGTAATACATGTAAAGCATCAACAACAACAGGTCCCCCGAATTTGAAGAGCGCTGGAGAAAGATCATCACGTCCCGTGGCTTAATTCAACTTTAACAGTCCGATCTCACGTTCGACTTTTGAGCGAGAGGGTGGATCCAAAGGGACAGCCCAAGGAGCAGAGCGATCACTGGCCGGCGAAGAATCGAACAATTCTAGCCGATCAAATTCCTTTTCAAAATGCTCAGCCCAACGCTCCAAATGTTTTGACTAATTGTGGATAGGCTGTCCACTCTCGTCACGTATAGTTTCACTAACACCAGGTCTCCTGTTGCCCGTTTCCCGTATCAGACGGAATAACTTACGATGGTTGCCAAGAGCAGTGGCCACTTCCATCTCTGATGCACGGCGTGACCACCAAGATTCGCGGTCCCTCTTCAGGCTAGCACGAAGTCTTGCCCGGAGCTCTTTGCGAGTTTCATTGTGTTCGCTTCCAGCCGGGATATGCCGGCGAGCATCGATAAGTTCCAGAGACCGCGAAGAGACTCAATATCCATGTTGGCTATTAGACATACCACATGAGGATTTGTATGCTGCTAGTAAGGTCTGGCGAACATGTGACCAGTAACCATCAATTGTCCCCAGTGAACGCTTACTCAACTCGCATGTCAGCGTACTTCGATACGTATTCAGAACAGCTGGCTTTGTCAGTTGGCTGGTTTCAATGCGCTCACAGCGTCGTCGTGGGCGTCCGCCAAAACGCATCCGCATGTCAGCACATACAAGTGCATGGTCGGTGTCCACACATATGCTTCAAATCGAGCGACAGTTCTCGACGCAGCCTCTCCAGCGGTAACTTATCGCAATGTGGTCGGTCTGCGTCCAAGGCTGGTGGGCGCCAAGTCACCCTCGGGCAGGTGCTGTGTCGGAAGTTAGTGCTCGCAAGAAATAAGCGAGCATCTTCACACCAATGAAGTAACCGCTCACCGTTATCATTACGGGAGCCTACACCGTGCTGACCGCCCAGATGCATTTCATCAGTGGACAACTTTCCAACTTGTGCGTGCATATCCCCCGCCAGCACAACAGTGTCCGTGCTTCTTCTGTGGCGAAGGAACTGGGTCAGTTAGCGGTAGAAGTCGTTCTTTACCGAATCATCGCTACATTTTATGGGTGCGTAGGCAGCGATGATGAATAGACACCTATTAGTCCCGCGCGACTTCGAAGCTTTGAACGAGCCAGCCAATCGGACCGCACACATCCGGCTGCTGATTGGAATCCAATCAACCAGAGTAGCTTCAGCCCGGGGACTCAGGGCAATGCCAACACCAGCTTAGCCGGTGCTCGAGGCTGTATCGTTACCGGATAGGTGCAATGAGAAAACACTTCTTGCGTCACCTGAAGGGGATCGCAGTGAGCACTGAGCTCGAGTCTTGCAGGCGGGTCTCTGATAAGCAGCAGATATCTATCGAGAGGGTCTCCAATGTTCAAGCAAGTGCTGCCTGTTGACCGATCTGTAGTAATGTGCGTACATTGAGGCATGCCAATCTGAGGGAGGATCGAGGGCTCCAAATGCAAGCCGATGAACTGGAGTGGACCGCTTGATTGGATATGGGCTTGTCGACAGGAGAGGAGTGGCGCACCGCGTTCACATGTGAGTTGAAATTAGAAGATAAATGCCTAGCAAAGCATGTTGGGAGAGGGCCAAGAATCGTGGGTTGAAAACTGGGGGGATATAAGTGAAGTTGGAACGGGACGGTAAGAGTGAAAAAGCGTAAGAGGGGGGGTAAGAAGACGGGAAGGCTTGAGCAGTAGCATCCAAACTCCTATCCACCCTGCTCGATGCAGCAGATAGGGCACCGTTGATTATCCCCTGCGGTGGCCAGAGTATCAAGAAAATGTTTGAGGAAAGATTCATTGTATTGTGTGGGCAGGATACTGTCAGATTGCCCAGGCCTAGACAGAAGAACGATTAGGGTTCTCAACCAAAGCCTTTGGTTCAAAAACCTGACCGCAAGGCAGCGGGTTTGGCGTTGGGCTACAAGGAGTCCGTTTTAAGGAATAAGGAGCCACCCTCATTCCAACCCGCAACCTGGAGGACCAGGAGGCTGAGTTTGTCTGGCCTCTAACCATTGACCAATCTGGTATGAGTGCCTCTGAAGGTGCAAAAGCACCACCCAGCATAGTTCAATGTATCTCTGAAGCGTGCAAACCATCGCACCACGGTAAGGTCCAGCCTCATTGCGATGGGCCTACTAGCCTTCTCCTGCGAGTTTCTTATTATGGGGGATGCATCTCAGATATCGCTATGCATTCGTCAGTATTGTACATATGTTGGCTGGCAGAGAGAAATGCGAAGTTCATTCGGCCGAACGTTCTATGTGAAGCATCCAGCATAAAAGCCGGTATACTCTTGTTGCGGCTTCCTGCGTGCAGCGATCATGTTCAGTTCAGTTTAAAAGCTACAATCCGGGCACTGAAGCACGGTGGATTTAGTTGCCACGACTCATCATCAGGATAACAATAAGTAGTGGTAAAGAAATGGCGTTGAGCCAAAATAGAATACGAAAATAGTGGAACAATGGCAGCAATGCAGAGCTAATTAGGATGGAAAATTAACTGTTAAATTCAACCAAACGGGCACAAGAACGCCACTAACTACGCGACTGTGTTATGTCCGACACTGTCTCCAACCGCTGATGTGGGTCATCCAGAGGCCCCCATCCACCAATGCGACAGTCATCAGCCTGAGTAAATTTCTTAGTTTATGCGTGTCTTTATGCCGCTTCATCGATGGTTTCGCCCAACTTGGTGTAGCGGCGGCGTATGGTGCGCGCCGAGAAAATCGGTCAATTGGCGTACGGTGGACATGACCTAGCCAACGTACGCGGTTAAGCTTCAGCAAACACTCGAGTAAGGATTCTTGCCAAAAATCGACCTTAGCATTGAGCACCAGATGTGAACAATATTCCGCGAACATTGGTGGTCAAATACCGCATTTAATGTCTTCACTGCGAACTGGCCAGGTCTCCGATCCATACAGCAACACTGGCCTTATCGCAGCATTATACACCCTATCTTTCACTAACCGGCTGATATTCCGCCGTCTCCATAGTTGGTTGAGCCTTTGTAAAGCCACACGGTCTTTGCTGATACGTGGATGTGATCACCAAAGGGTGACATAGATACCAGGGTAAGTGAACTGATCCAACAGCAGCTGTTCCCTGATAGCTAAAACCGGTGGTGTATGGGGCCAGTACTGCAACAATACCTTGTACTTTGAAGGCGCAAAGCATATGCCCAATTGTGCAGCACTACACAGTAGTGTTTTCATATCCACTGCGTCAGTCGTCCGCACACTCGTGGTTGGTTAGTCGGTCACCTGATATTCGTAGACCCTTACCCGGCCACGGGAGTCACGGTAGAAATTTCAGTGGTTCTCTATACCTTCTCGCAGTCAATTGCGTCCGTAACGCTTTCAAATTCCTCTTTAGGGAAATCATAGATCTCTTCAGATAGTTCTTAACGCCATCAAAGAACATGCAACAGGCGTGAGCATCTAAAAATGTGTGCTGTTCGTTGAGTAACCAATCCCAAACCAGCCGATTAACAGGTGAGTATGCAGAGTGGGATGCCAATGGCTAATTTGAGATTGATCAACTCATAAACAGTAGCACTTGGGTTGTTAGCGCCTATTGTATGCAACTTGATAGCATTAAAGACCATCTTGAGGGATCTATGGGGGAACATGATTACCTTAAGAAATTTAGAAGCGCTGTGGACGCAGTAGACTGAGAAATGTCATAGTCACTCCCTTCACGGGTAGGCAGTGCCACAAGCTGGCTCGATCAACGGAGTAAAGGGTGGCCTTCAAGTCAAGGAGAACCACTATAGCCCGTCTTCTGTAGGTCTCTGCTTTAACGCTTGGCTAAGAGTAAATATGTGGCCGATGCAACCATGACTAAGGCGGGAGCAAGCTTGGATTTCAACGATCCGGCTCTCACAAGGACCAGTAAGTTGTCGAAGAATGATACCCGTGAGAAGTTGGGAGACAACGGAAACAAGGCTAATGCCCCGATGATTTTCTTACGAAGTGCCCGACCCTTCTACAAGATAAGCACGCCAGTCTGAAGGCACCTCTTCAGTGTCCCAAACCGTGTTAAACAGAGAAGCAATTCCAGTGAACAAAGTCACGTCCATCTTTCAGCAAAGATGCAAGAAAGTTGTCGAATCCAAGATCTTTGTTTCGCTCCAACAAAGCAAATTCATGTCGGATCTCTTCCAATGTGGTAGGTGTGACATCAACATCCCAAATCGCCTAGCGGCAGTGTTGTAGCAGTCTGCTGCCCCTCTCCTCCTCAACGAGCTAGTCGACGATGCTGAGAATGAAACAACTGTCTATCTTTCTAAGCTATCGTATCATTAACTGAGGGCTTTCTGGGACCCGTGTTCCGGATGAGTCGAAACAGTACGCGGCTCTCTCCATCTCACGAGCCCTTGCCATTCACCAGCGTTCCCGGTCAATTCTCAGACATCTTATCAGTCGTCGTTTCAGGGCGTTACGGATACGCTGAAAGTCAGCAGCTAAAGGGGTCTATTTTCGTGATTCGATCAAACTAATCGGTCTCAGAGACCCATTCACAGTTTGGACGTCTCAAGTTAGGGTGTACAGCAGGCGTCATAAGCATTTGTCATGGCATAATTGAGACGCTTCCAGTCAACATTAACCTCAATAACCGCATGCCCTAGTAACGATTGGTTGGTTAGTTCGTCATGACATTGTAGAAGTTCGGACCGCAAGCTTACAAGTGATAAGTTTAGAAGTTAGACACTTTTTGTGGCAGGAGGAATGACGCCAGGTGTGCGCGCACTAAACCATGGTCAGAATCCAGAGACACGTGCTCCAAATTCAACAGTTTTAGACCTATGTGGGCCATCTATAGCTGATGGCAATATGGTCAATTTGGGTTCAGGTCATCGAGGATTTCGGTGAACTCCAAGGGGGCACGATGTGAACGTTCGTGCTGAAAAGCGGTCTCCTAACATAAAGATTGTGACCATCACCTACTTGCAGAAGTCGATCACCATTGTCTGTGCATCGATCCCGAAGCGGTCTCTCAGATGTTCAGAGTTTGAATGGCGACCTACGTGGACATTCATGTCACCAGCAACAATCGCGATGCCCAGTGATGACCTCCACGCGGACGTCTTATGTGCCACACCAGAGGCCGTGAAACCCTCCCTACTCGTCGTCGGTATAGCTACCAATGCACGTTCTAACTAAGCTGCTTACTTCAACACATGTTGTATCAAGAAGGCAACAGAGGAAGGTTTCAATTCAGAGGACCCACAGAATAGACAAGTTTTAACGATCCGGATTGCAACCAATGAGAAGTGGGTTGCTCTATTTCAGGCAGCCAATGAAACATGATTTAGGAGAGACATCGTGATGAGTCGGCCACAACACGTGTCCATCACAGTTGTCGTGAAGCAGGGCCAAGTAACGCAATGTGCCCATGAAGATCTCCCACATCTCGCTCCACAAGGTAGCCAACTTCCGCAGCTTGTCTGTGAGGTGAAAGCATTCCACTTTTTCAATCTATCCCTGGCGAAACTCCAGATAAAGATGGCCAGAAATGGGAATCGGACTCTGTTCCATGCTACTGCAAACTGACGCCTGTACTCAGAAGCCATCGGCCCTCATGGGCAGCGGCTGTCACTGTCGGTTTTAGAGTGCTCGCTATGATCCGGAATGCGACACGCGATGTACGAGTCCCCGCCCTTCTAGTTTTTTGGTTGTGGTGGTAGCAAGGTACTAGAGTACTGCTGATACCATTTTATCTTCAGTAAAGCATTCGCATGTGAGATGTCAAGCCTTTCAACTGGCACATGCACCAGGGTGTTTTAGACCCGGCTACCTTGACTCACTTCACCACTCTAGTAAATAAGGTTTGAAAGTAAGAAAAATCGGTCAGTCGAAAACAGATGATTAAATCGCCCGATTGATGTGATAAGTACTAGATCCGAGTGATCAGATGCAGGGGCATTGACTTCGCCTCTGCGCCACATCGGACATAATGTGGCCGATCCTCGGAGCCCGTACGGAATTACGTCACACACCAACCTTAGTCCGATCTTCGACTAGTTACTAATTGTCATTTGTCATCGACACCGTGGAGTTTCTTTCAGTTAGCTGCGGCATCGACAAGCAGTATGGGTCGGGGAAGTCGGTCGGCAAAAATACGAAGAACCTGACCCAACTAGCAGTCTCTTCGAGTTCAACAACCGCTGTATTGCGGTACTGAAAGTCTGTTGCACTTCTGGTATGTATAAGTAAAACCACGTGGAAAATGTGAGTGACATGTGCCTTGTCTCTAAATAGACATCCCTCGTCGTGCCACTGTCGGCTAGCAGCAGGATAGCAGTGATGTACCAGTCCCGAAAAGTCGGGCGCTGAGTCAGTGAACACAAATCGGGTGGAGTAAGTCAGGGTGACATCATCTGCTCCTAGATTGGCCACAATACTTTTGGCATAATTTGTTGGGTACAAAGCCTGTGCTCCAAGCTGAAATCAGCACAAGGGATTCCAATTTACTTGGAGTATCACGGATAACAATCGCTGCACCGATTAGATAAGACACATCCTCGTTTCGACTGACCCTGACGGCTGGATGTGGCATATTTTTTGACAATATAATGCTATTATCCAGTGTGCACAAGAGGTTTAGTGGACATAGTGATCGTTGTTCGAGATAATTTCCTCTACAGTGGCCACGAAGCCGCCGACCGCCGCTTTAACGACTAGGGATGCCGATAATGTGGTCATACATTGCCGTAAATTTTGGAACATGCTTCGTGATCATCTTTTTCTAGATCAACATTTTTGGTTGCTCCGTATTAACCAATACTACAGACATTAAAGTCCATGATTCTTCGGGGAACATTGATACAATAATCTGCATCTTCCGCAACGCCAAGTCAACAAAATAAACCGCTGCGTTTTTGCGGCGAGTTATTACTACTTGCGCAATACAAGGCATCGTATTAGACCCACTGCTCTCCCCGGCTTTTATCAGTGATATATTCGTTACACGACAATACAACAAACGCTTTCTGTTCGAAGACGATATTAAGATAGTATGCACCTCTAAGCTTCGAAGAGAAATTTAATTGAAAGAGCTGATCGGTCAACAAAAGAAACAGTAATTTAGGTATCATCGGTTGGGCGCAAGGCTTAGGTCGCTGCATCCTCTATCGAAATGAAGAGTCGCCGCACAAGGCAGAACAAATTCATCGAGGCCTAGAATTCTGGGTGAAAACTGGTCGTTCCCACTTTGAGTTGAAGCATTTATTGATAACGTTGTGGACAGAAAAAGAAGTGCATATATAATCGTTTGGGTATCATCCAAGAAATGGTGGTTAAATAAGTAATGAAAAAAATGAAACAACGCAAAATGGAACAAAACCAACAAACGTCGTTGCTGTTAAGATTATGCAGGGTGCCAGATACGCAGTACGTGATGTATTTACTTTGTGGACAACATCAGTGCCACTATCAAACCATAGAGAGCGAGGACTTCTGCGAAAATTAGTATGAGGACCATGCCGACAAACAGTCGTGGTTGCTTTGAAGTTGACCGAACACCCTCGTCCCCAACAACTCCAATAGCGTATCCGCCAGCTAGACCACTGATACCAACACTCAATCCCGCTCCGAAATCATAAATAGAGCTGGAATAAAATAAGAAAAAAAGCAACTTACGAGTGGAGGCTGTATTTATCGTCGATGCGTTGCGAGATCAAAACTGAAACCACTAGACCGTATATAGCTATAATGCCAGCCATCACGACGGGAATAAGCGATTTCATTACGAGATCAGGGCGAGTTACAGATGTGCAAGCGATGCTCGATCCTGCTTTCGCAGTGCCATATCCAGCTCCGAGAGCTGAAATTTATTAGCGCATACATAACCTTACAGCAAAGAACTATGGAAGCACTGCATCCCATTAGCCCAAAAAATGGTGCATATATGGGTTCCATTTGGCTGGATCAGATGTCAAGGTTGTACTTCAAGCCAAGAATATAACAATGCGAGGTGCAACGATTGGAGTAGGAGCACGGAAAGCCACAATAAGCTGGAAAAAAAACAAAGATAATGATGAGGCTCATCAAACAGTCGTGCGGGAGATTCTCGAGTTCATCAATATCTGCCATGCTGCACTAAATCACTTGAAACAGGGGTGTACTAAGTGAAAATGAGAAAATTACAAACAGAATTGATGACATGGTAGAACGATTGCACGAGCTTCCACGACTTCTACAAGTAGCCGTGGATTGTACGATAAAGGTCTAACACCAAGTTGTAAGCATCACCTGCTTGAGGTGCTGATCTGTTCTTCCGTCTGAGTAATTCGGTTGTAACCAAATTGCTTAGGTCGGTGAGCAAATCAATGCTTCAACTGCCAACTCGAACTACCGATATTCCGGGTTGTTGGACTACTTTCCTTTTCGGTTGGTCATGGTTAGAAGTCAGGCAAACGCAGTCTCCTGATCCTCCAAGCTGGGCGTTGGAAATAGGATGGCGTCCGTTTCTTTAAAACCGAATCGTTGCAACTTCCGCTGCCTTGCAGATAGGCTTTGAAGCCAAAGGCTTTGGTTGAGTACTCCAATCGTTCTCTTGTTTATGTCTGAAAGCCCTGACGGTATCTCAGCCTACCTACAACCATGACTATTTCCTCAAGTTGTAACCACATCTTGCATCGATCGTCGCGCAGATTATCAAAAGTCGCCTTATCTGCTGCAGACAGTAGGGCGGATAAGCGAAAACATGCTACTGCTGGCGCTTCCCTCCTCTCTTTTCCACCTATTTCTCTTACTCATCCTGGCCTACATTACTTACACTCATTCTATAATTCCCAGCCTAACTGAAATCAGCCACAATGTCATTGTAGTTCTATCATCTGTGGCTATCTTCCGGCACAACCCACTGGACACCTATAGGCAACAATCTCCTATAAGGATACGCCGTCCCGTTTCCTTGCCGGCATTTAACCCAAATAGGTAGACAGGTTCTACTCGCATCCACGTTTGACGTGTGTTGCGTGTCCGAAACTAGAATCAATGAACTTCACGCGGTTGTTGAACTAACTGTGCCCGGCTAGTTCTCTCTATTGATTGCATGCATCCGGGGAAGCTGATGCGATAACCCTTGGTAAGGCTTGCCGGGCATCGTTCTCAGCCCCAATTCTGGGTCATCACTGGTTGGGTTCCCGTGAGCAGTCGTTTGTGTGCAGCCCGGTTGACGATTTCAACTAGGGTTGGTTCACAAAGTAGTACTAGACGCTGTTTGTGGATTACGCCTATGACTACAGTTCTGATGCTGGCAAGGACACTTACTACGAACTGAACACGCCGCTATGCAGCGTTACCAGTTCGGATGTCGTTATTGTCGCAGAGGATATGAATGCGCAAATAGATCCTCTTTAGAAGCTCAGCTAGGTGGTAAGTATGGAGTTAACACCAACCAGACAAACAACCGCAAGCGTGTTACAACTCTGAACTGATCTGCCGAACTACCTCCTCGTGGTGCCAGCTGGGTGGATCGAGATCTACCCATTCCAGCAAAATGTTCCGCGGTGGTCTTCCAGAACGTGGAGAGTTTTCAACTGGTAAGCGTTCGCCTTATAAAAAGCCACAAATGTCCGTTTAATAAGACTGCGACGTGGCGGATGTGGTCGGCCACTAAATAAATTCATTGTTCCTTACTTCATCTAACTGGAGTATTGTAATCCTTCAACTGGACGCTGAATTGCTGGGAATATTGGGCTCCGGCTTGACAGCCCGCAAAATAAAAGGCGTATGAACCGAGCGATCGGTGACCGACTCCCAATGAGCACGACTCTGAATTCGCCCCGCTGCCTTACGAGTGGGGTCCCCATGACCGAAGGCTCCGGGTGGGCCCCTTCATCAGCTTGGTATATCGGGAGGCTGTATATCCACACAACATATGAACTGATGGACCTAAAACTTACTGCTCACGGTTCTTATTATCTGGACTCCCTCTTTTCGGCCCAGCATGCTAAACTTCCCTCTATCACATCGCAAATTACCTTCGTTCAACACTGATCTAACCATCCTGTTCTTGGCAATCCACTTCTTTTCGAGTTTCCAAAAGCGTATTGCAAAAAGGATACTTCTGGCCGCATCAATGAGCCTCTCAAAATTGATCGCACACAATCCAATTCCAGCAGCAAGACTTTTATTGTACTCCGCTCGCTATACTCAATGTTTGAACGCTTTTACAAGTTGGACCACAAGGTGCTCTTGTGCGCACCTTAGAAAACTTCTCCATCTATGTTTGCTGCCTAACCGAAACCTATTTACAGGACTCCATCACAACGCTGCGAATGTTCTCACCATCCTCAAGTTCCGGTTGCACATTCACCTGAGACGTAAATGCGCAGGTCGGTAGACTAGAAGTTCATGAACACGAACTTGGGGGTCAATATAGCCACGGTACTCGCAGGACGGACAACGGCGAAAGCTTTCTTCAAATGGGCGCTGACCACGGCTTTTTTCTTACGAGCACCAATTTCGGGCGTTCTTGGCACCATCATCATCATCATACTACTCGTTAGCTGGAGGTGGGGAACACCTAAGCTACTGTGCCGCAATATATAGAAAAAAGAACAAAAAAGCAACTGGTGCAAGCTGGCTGAGCTACCGGTAACGGATGGGCATCGTTCCGGTAAGCTACTAGCCGGCTATTGTGCATCAAAAAAATTACTATGCAAAATTATATAAGACTAAATAATGAGATCGTGGTTGGAGGGGGAGGCTAAGAGGGATGGGGTGGGCAAAGAAACTTACAGCACGAACGCCACTGAGGTCGGCTCCTAGCCATATCAGCAAGTGTGTCCAACCAAACGTCTTCATCGTCTTTTGGACCCCAACCAGGGAGCCGAAACGCTCCAACCGAGGACAGCTCATTCCTCTGGACCAAGTCATCGCTTGGCCACCCCTCCTCTTCTTTCATCCATACCCCCGGCGCGCAAACAACGCACGTCGCGGGAGTCGGTGGGCTGGCATGCGTAACACGTGGCCGAGCCATCGGAGCCGGGTGCGTGAAATAACGGTGCTGAGCGGTTCATTTCATTTTCCTGTGCCATAAACAAGGCGTCGAACACGCTCGTTGCTCACGCGGTGTTCCCACCAGATGTGAGGTAAAATGCGAAGGCGCCGGTGCTCGAACGTAACTAGCCTCTTCAGGCCCGCTGCTTTAAGCGGCCAGGTTTCACAACCGTACAGTAGGGTCGAACGTACCGCTGCATTGTACACTCTACCCTTCAGGGCAAGAGTGATGTCGCGCCGGCGCCATAAGTGGCGAAGGTTAGCAAAAGCGCCCCGAGCTTTTGCTATACGATTCGTGATCTCATCTTCAATCCCACGGGCGCTAATACAACTTCCCAGGTAGTTGAATTTTTGAGCGACTTCTAGCTGATCCCCACCAAGGGTCAGCGTAGGAGGCGGTCCAGACCAATCTTGGAAGAACGCTCTGCACTTCGATGGTGCAAAACAAAGCCCGAAGCGGCTGACAGCTAGTGCTAATCTGTCCAGTGCCGCTTGTCACGTTTGTGAGCTGTCACAGATGAGGGCAATATCATCAGCATACTCTAAGTCAAGAAGTCGTTCTCCTGGGAGCAGATCCACACCTTCTAAGTCGTGTGCTGTGAACGCGATTTCCATGACTTCGTCAACAGCGAAGTTGAAGAGGAAAGGTGACAGCGGGCATCCTTGTCTCACGCCGCTGGAGATATTAAAGGGCGACGACAACTTGCCGTAAGCCCTCACTCTGCCCGAGCTACGCGCTTATAATGCTCGGGTAATATTCACATATTTCTCAGGTACACCTTTCCTGAGTAGGCAGTCGCAAAGTGCATGTCTATCCACTGATTCGAATGCACCAACGAGACAGATGGCGATTTTCGGCGTCCGGTCAGGTGTGGACGCAAACTGATCACATAGCTATCAGTTACCGTTGGTGAGGTTGCATAACGGACTGCAAGACAATTTGTAACACTTGACTTCGGATCGTGCGCTCACGTGTGCTAAAGTCGTTCTGCGTCTTGGAGGCACCCAACAGCGTTGCCAGAAACGGCTTGACACAGACAAGCTCGCCGCCCCAAATGTTCTCGGCGCATTTCAGAACACATTAGACTCCAACCTGCGTCTTCTATCCTCTGACGTTGAGACGCACTTAGCACAAATTCAGAACGCCATACGAAAGTCTGATGCATTGGTCTGTGGCTTCACTAAACTAATTAAAAGGGGAGGGAACACTGAAGAACAAACAAAAAAATGTTAAGGAGAAGAAGGGAAGATTCGGGACTGCAAGTTAAGGTCATTAAGGCGACATTTAAACTCCGTCACTGTGGGTGACAATACGACGTTCTCGGGTAGCGTATTCCAGGAATCAATTACGTGACAAACGGATGTCAGCCCGAACCCGACTAGATCAGGTTTTGTGCAACTTCAGCGGATGCCCACGAAGAGCAGGCAAAGGAGCAGGATGAATTCTCCTACAAACCATTACTTGATGCTCAGTCGGTCGCAGAGGATAATTAACTGCGGCCTATCTACTGCATCGAGCAGGGTGGATAGGGGTTTGGATGCTACTGCTCAGGCCTCCCCGGCTTCCTATTCCCCCTCACGCTTCTTCATCCTTATCGTCCAGTTCCAACTTCACTTTTATCCCCCCATTTTCAACCCCCAATTTTGGGCCTCTCCCATCTTGTTTTGATAGGCGTTTATCTTCTAGGCTCGATCCACGTGCAAAGGTGCAGCATCACTCCTACCCCGTCGACAAGCCCATGTCTATCCAAGCGGTCAAGGTCAGTTCGTCGGCTTCTATGTGGGGCCCCGGATCCCCCCTCAGATTGATATGCCTCAACATGCGAACATTAATACAGATCAGTCAACAGGCAGCACCTGCCCAAACACTAGAGACCCTCACAATCGGTATCTGCTGCTTATCGGAAACCCGCCTGCAGGACACGAGCTCTGTGCTCGCTCTGCGATCTCCTTCAAGTGAAATTAGCACTGCTTTCTCATTGCGCCTATCCAGAGAAGATGCAGCT